TAGATATTTGTTTTATACATTCATATTAATCATTCAAGGCTCTTGATAGGAAGAATTCATTAACGAAAATATAAAGCCGATAACGAACTTGATACTCTATAGATAATTTGATAGAGTCGACAATGTTTAACAAATAAAGTGAAATTGCCCATAAGTACCACAATGATGACCACGTTGACAGAAAATCTCAACCGAAGAGGACCCTCAAATATTGAAATTACCTCCAAAATTCCAATGAAAATTTAAATTTAAAATTAAAAAATCACCAAATTCTAAATATTTAAAAGAAAAAATAAACCATCAAATATTTAAAACAAAATATCCATCCATCATCCGCAACAGTTTGTAGAGGTGGACAAATTTGAAAATAACTTTAGCTCATAAAGAGTAAATGTCTGGTCAAGAATATCACTAGAATTCATTATCAAATCATCTTTTGTCATTAAAAACGTGGCAGCGTCCTTTAACCAGTGGTTTCACCACTAAATGACACCATAGGAAAATGGTTATGACCTAGACCCTCTAACTATGTGCTTTTGTCGTCAAATTGCACCATTAAATTACGGTCATGGTTGGAGCACGCATGTTCCTCAACGAAATTAAATCCTTTAGTATTGAATCAATATGATATGACTGATAGGACACAAAGCAGTTTGTTAGCTACAGTGGATTTAAATGTCCTCTTAGGTGTTTATATGCACCATTGGACGAAGCAACCCATAGATGCCGAAAAGGATCCTTTTCTCAAGTTGGGTCGAATACGTCCTTTAACTATGAAGATCAAAGATCATGATGACTCGGGATGACGGAATCATTGGATCTCGATCGGGTCTATCATCATTCTTCCCACCATCCGCTTTAAGTGCAAAGTGGTAAATTTCTAATTTTAAAAATTAAAATTAAAATATATAAATCTTGCTACTATTATACGCCGGATACTACATATCTGCATGACGACTAGCCTTAATCAAAAGTTCTCTCTCGTTATCGAGAGGGGTAATTAACTATAGGAGTTTGCACCTATAGGAAACTGAACTCAGATCATAAAGTTCTTGCAAATGAGGGCAAAATATCTGGATAGTGTCTTATTTAAAAATCAACATGCCTTCTAAAAATTTTCCTCAAAACATAAACGTTAAAACTCTCCTCAACGACTTGATGAAAAGAAAGAAATGGGTCCATGGAGAGGCAGGACGCAAATTTTCGGTGCACACACGGTTTGAAAAACAAAACAGTAAGAAAACTATCCCAAATAAAATCTTAGGTTTGATTTTGGAGAGCTTTTTGATTGATTTTGTATTAGGAAAGATAGTCAAATAAAACATAATGCATGCTTGAATGACAATTTTTACACAACTTTTTTAAAATTTTATCTTTTAAAAACTATTTTTGAAAAATAAATTTAAAATTATGATTAAAAATGAGTTTTTAAAGCAAAAACAGAAAGAGTATAATACGTTCCAAATGAAACCTTAGATGTTGAGTCTTTGACATTCTAATGTGGAGATATTATTAGGTGTGGAGTGTGGACGGGGAGAACGGTCCGCACAAGCATTGAGTACCTAGCGATACCCGCATTCGGTACTGCTGGGTACCGCTAGGTATCCAACACTTGTGCGAACGGTGTGCACTCCACACCTAATAATTTTTCTTCTAATGTGGGGATATTATGAACATGTCCCAGCACTAGCATTGACCTCTTTTGATTTGAATTGGAGCGCTTCAGAGGTGGTCACTTGACACCATATAAAAAATTTTAAGAAAAATCTCAACAATACTAAACGTATTTCAAAGTTTTTAAAAATATTATTTAAATTTAGAATAAACCGAATAAAATATTAAAGTTTTCTATGCTTCAATTTTCATTTAAAATAGATTTCATTCATCATGTAATATATACATTTAGCTTATTTAAAAATATGATAATACTGAGAGTTTATATACAAATTCAATACTTCATATTGAGATCTTACCCATTAACAACAATTCATTGAGCTTTCTGAAGCAAGTTATGAACGTTGTAATCAACACTGAAACCCTTTAAAGATGTTCAAAAATGCTGTGAAGAAATGAGTTGAAGCATAGAAAGCTGATTTTTTACTGTTTTTTAAAATAGTTTTTTAGAAAAAAAATTTTTTGAACTAAAATTTTTTGTGTTGACCTCAATTTTCGTACGAGTACCGTCAAGTCTAATTTAAACTCGGGGCAACTCGAATCGAGTCGAATAAGAACCGACGAATTTTAATTAGCCTTGATCGATTCATTTTATTAGCGCCAAATTTAATAAAATTGGAGTCATAGATTTATTTAAACTTAATTTTGTTAATTCTATTGAGTTGAGACAAATTCAAAGTGAACTGAATCAATCAAATTGAGTCCAATTCAGGTTAAAAGCAGCTGACGCTTATGTATTTAAATTGAAGTGCAATGATCCTCTTTTCGTAATCATTATCGCGACTTCTCGGGCAGTTTTCTTCTGATTTGGCCGGCTACGGGAGATCTTTGTGAAGATCTTTGCGAAGTTCTGCCGAGAAATCTTATCGCTACGGAAGATCTTGAGAATGGTCACTTCAGTGTGCTGTTGGCGACTTTCCTCCTATTTGAGTAGCTGGCGAAAGCTCCGTCCCTCTCTCACCTCTCTGGTTCGCGCGACAGAGAAGGAGAGCCGAAACTTGCTCTTGGTTCGGACATACCCTCTGTCCCGTCTCCCTCTGTTCGCAATGTACCCGACGCAGCTTCTCCCTTTTTTTCCTTCTGGCTTGTGTGACCTAGCCGGAGCTCCACCGCCCCTTTCTTCTCTGGTCCGACCGAGCACCTAAGCAGAACCCAACGCCGACGCAAGTGCTTCCTCCGGTATTGGTTTGCTACAGATCGGACCCTCTTCGTGGCCTCTTTCACACGAGCAGTAGCCGAAACCTCCCTCTCCCTTTCTCCGTCTTTTCGCTGTTCGCAAGAGCCGACGCCAGCCTTCAACACTCCATTCGCAAGCTGCAGCGGCTGTAGGTGCCGATTCGACCCCCCTTGCCCTAGCCGAACCCTTCTCAGAAGCAGGTATACCTATTCCTCTTCTTCTTCTTCTTCTTTTTCCCCTTTTCCTTACCATTTCCTTTCGTTCCTCTCATATTGACGATGCCTTGTTTGTGGTGGATTTTGATTAACTCTAAGTGTATCTGTTTGCAAAGTTGTTCTAATTGAATGTGTGTTCATGGATTTGATGAGAATGTATGATGATTTAGTGAGAATATGAGGTTGTGAAACACCAACTTTCATGAGGTTGTGAACTGTCACTAAAAGGAATTTGTTTGTAAATGAGCTTTTTCATATAGAAGTCTTCTCCTATTAAATTATCAAAAGGTTTATTGACAAAAATCTGAGAATAAGTTTGGTTGTTTGTTGAGATGCGATGACCCGTAGATATTTTTTCTCATGAGCGTTTTTTTCTTTTTAGCATGTATAACATGGATTTGGCACTTGCGAGGTAGCATGATATTTTCTTGCTTAAAATCTCAAATATTAGTACTTTAAACTTTTGATATATCTTTATGGAGATGTGCAAATGAGATTTTCTTGTGGAAATACTTCAAATCGAATTTATTGTAGAAGCATTTGGATGGGGTTGTCTCATTCGGATTTGCTCAAATCAATA